GCGGCGGCTACGGGGAGAGCGAGTCGAGCGCCAGCGAGGGCGAGTCGCCTGCCTTCAGCTCCGCATCCAGCGATTCCGACGGCAGCGGTGGCCTCGTGTGGCCGCAGCAGCTGGTGGCGGCCACCGCGGCTTCCGGGCCTGGAGGTGGTGCGGGTGGAGGGGCGCCCGCCGGCCCCGCCAAGGTCTTTGTGAAGATCAAGGCTTCCCACGCGCTCAAGAAAAAGATACTACGTTTCCGTTCGGGTTCTCTCAAGGTCATGACTACAGTATGAGTCTGGGGGTTTGTTTGGGCTCCCCTTCATAGCCTCTGCACCACCACACCCCCAATCACTGACCCTTCCACACCTCCCTTCCAAAGACCACAGTCTTCTCGCCTTCCAAAGACCCTTCCTCTGTGCCCCATCCACTGCAGTCCTGGTTGATAAGGCTCCCCCTCCTTAGGGAGGAATGGGGGAGGGGCCCTGTCTGACCCAGTGGGTCTTTCAACTGATGGCTCTGCAGCCCATGGGCAAAAGTTCCCTCTCTCTGGACCTCATCTTCCTCATCTGTGCTATGGGTGTACTATGGTATGCTGAAGGGGTAATTCAGTTTGAACTTCCCCGTTCTAGTTTAGACAGTCTGTTTGATGCCCTTCACTTCTTTCACTGAGCCCTCTTAGTCTTCCCCTCCGTGCCCAGATATGGCCCCTCATACACAAAGTGCCCCTCATCCATGTCCTTGGATATCCCCTTGGCACGTGGCTGGCTGGAGACTCTCTGTGTCTGACCCAGATGGTGCCTTCAGAGTGCCCTGGGAAGGGAAGGAGCACTGACTTTGGGGTTTTGAGGGTCAAATAAGAGTTGATAACACCTGGGAAGAACGACTTTTTATTTCTATCCATGGACAATTACGGAAGATTGGGAAGTAGAAGAGGGGAAGGAAGATGGCTTCTATCTTGTGGGTTACCCCCCACCCCACTGTGAGAGGGAGTGGGAGCTCAGGATGACCCTCAACTGTTTCAATCCAGTATTTTTTTCTTTTTAAAAATTACTGTATTTATTATGACGATGGTGACTCCCCGGTGCACAGGGGAGCCAGATTCTGTGTGTTTCTCTAACCTCTTTGTAAATAAACGCACAGTGTTACATATGTGGTGGACTTGACTTCTGTGTTAAAGTGGGAGAAATGCTTTTCCTTTGGACTAACATTTATTGAGCGATTACGGTTTGCTTTGGATGTGGCAGTGTCCAGAAACAGATGGCAGATGCCAGGGTGGGTCTCAGCATCATTTTCTAGCCATTGGCTATTTTATTTCAATGACTCTGACCTTTGATGGAGTTTTGTTTGGTCATAAATGTGGTTTCATAAAATGAAAACAGTATGGGACAGTCCTAAATCCCCTTGCTCAGAAGTCATCATAATCAGTTTGATATGCATCCTTCATGTTTTCCTTTATGTGTTTGCATACATATATGGGTCTAGTAACTATATAAATATATATAACTATGTATATGCATATACATATTGTTATACTGTATATATAAAACTATATTTACATAAATTGAACTATATGTATGCATTCTTTTTAAAAAATATATCTTTATTGATTTCAGAGAGAGGAAGGGAGAAGGAGGGAGAGAGAGAGAGAGAGAGAGAAACATCAATGATGAGAGTCATTGATCTGCCTCCTGCATGCCCCCTGCTGGGGATCGAGCCCTAAACCTGGGCATGTGCCCTGACAGGGAATCTCCTGGATTATAGGTTGATGTTCCACCTCTGAGCCACCCCGGCCGGGCTATGTATGCATTCTTTATCAAATTTTTTTTTTGGGGGGAGGGGGGGATTAAGTCATCTGTGCCTGGAGATTTCTTTATGGGAAATATTTTAATAAGAATTGAATTTTTGCTCTAACTGGTTTGGTTCAGTGGTTAGAGCATCGGCCCATGGATGGAGGGCCCCAGATTCAGTTCTGGCCAAGGGTGCATACCTCAGTTGCAGGCTTGATCCTGACCCTGGTTGGGGCTCATGCAGGATGCAACCAATCGATGTGTCTCTCATTGATGTTTTTCTCTCTCTCTCCCTTCCACTCTTTGAAAAGTAATGGAAAAAATATCTTTGGGTGAGGGTTTAAAAAAAAAAAAAGAATTGAATTTCTTTGATGGTTATAGTACTGTTTAGCTTTTCTATTTCTTCCTGTGTCAGTTTTGCAAAGTGATATTCTTCTAGGATTTTGTTCATTTAATCTAAACTTAGATGACATATATTCCTATTACTGCACTAGCTGATAAGATTTCACTGTAGGGAGTCCCATAATCCAACCCTACTGTCAGCTCTCCAGTTCTTTTGCTATTATGGACCTTGCTGCAGTAATGTCCTTGTAAGAAACTCTTTGTGAATTTATGTATGACTGTCTATAGATCCACTTCTAGAAATAGAATTGCTTAGTCATTATAGTCTGCTCATTTAAAAACTTTTAATTGATACAGCCACACTTCCTTTCACTGACGGCCCTCAATTGAGATTTGCAACAGCAATTTTTGAGGTGCCTGTTTTTCCACCCCTTTACCGAACAATGATTTGAGAGCTGTTGCTTTAATTAGCATGTCTCCTTCCCTGTTTTCTTAGTGGGATACATTTTTTTGTTTGCTAATTGACCCACTTGTGTTTCTTCTGTGAATTGCCTGTTCACATCCTTTGCACAATTTCCTGTTGGTTAAGCCCAATAATTATACTAATTTCAAGGATGGATAAATAGAGGCTCAGAGAGGGGCCACCACTTGCCCTGGTCGTACAAGAGGGATCCAGGACAAGAACTGCCACCATGCCCACAGCCTGAAGGATGGGCATTTGTTGCTGCTTTGACCTTTGTGCCGACAAGGATTGAATTGAAAGGGACCACAGCAGGTCTGGTCCCTTTGAGGCCCGAGAAGTGGGGACCAGACCTGCTGGTCACCTGAATCTCTAGTGCCCAGTAGGGCCCTGTGGACACAGCAAGGAACAAAACAGAAAAAGTCTCTTCCCTGTGGAGCTTCCATTCGAGTGTGTGTGTAGATAAACATGTATTTCTTTTAGAGTACTAATAAATCAAAGTTATTTTTAAAAGTTTGCCAGGAAAAGCCATTGCTTGTCAGGCCCTTGGGAATATTCACCCCGTCTCCATTCCATAAAAGAGGCAACTGCAGCCAGAAAGGGGACATACAGATGGCCTGTCTACACAGGTCACTCACTGGTCAAAATGGTTACAGTCAAATGGATGACCTCCCTTCATTTTTCACATGCTAGGGCTTGCTCGTGAAAAATAACAGCTAACACTCATTGAGCACATGCCAGACTCTAGTCTCAGCACTTTATATATATTGACTCACTTAATCCTCACAACCTCATGGGGAGTAGATACTATTATTATGCCCATTTTACATGGAGAGTCTGAGGCACAGATAGATTAAGTAGCTTACTTGAAGTTATTAAATAGCAAAGCTGGAATTTAAGTTCAGGCTGCCTAAGAGTTCAGGCTCTTAAGCACTGTCCTACATAGTATATTTGCTGTATGGATTATCTCTGGAAGGATATACAAGGAACTGGTCACAGAGATGGAAACTGAGAGAGGTTGACAATTAAATTTTATAATTTCTTAAAGGTGGTAGGGCAATGAGGAAAAACTGAGCAGACATATGAGGCAATTGAGTGGAATGGGGGAGCGGAGCAGTTCATAATTTTAAATGGAGTCATCAGGGATCATCTCATTGAGAAGGTGACATTTGAACAGAGACCTGAAGGAGGAGTGAGGCCTGGGAAAGAATATCCCAGGCAGGGGTCCAGTGCAAAGGCCCTGAGGCCAAAATGGTGCCTGGCATGTTGGCAAAATAGCTAGGAGCCCAGCACATCTGGAGCAGTGAGTGAGGAGAGAGGATGGGAGGGACTTCTTGGGCCACCGTGAAGATTTTGATTTTTTACTTCGAAGGAAGTGGGAGCCATGGGACAATTCTAAGCAGAAGAGGGACTTAGTTTTTTTTTGGGGGGGGGGTGATGGGGTTAACAGTTTTATTAAGATATAATTCACATACCATAAGACTCATCCATGTAAAATATAGAATTCAATGGCTTTTTAAAAAAAATGTTTTTTCTTGTGATGGGAACTTTTAAGATCTAGTCTCTTAGCAACTTTCAAATATGCAATATGATTATTAACTATAGTCACCATGCTGTACTTTACATCCTCATGGCATTTATTTTATTACTGGAAGTTTGTTCCTTTGACAACCTTCACCCATGTCACCCATCCTCCCACTCTCCTTCTGGCAACTACCAGTCTGTTCTCTGTATCTATGAGGTCTTTTTTTTATTCCATATAAGTGAGATCACACAGTATTTGTCTTTCCCTGTCTGACTTACTTCACTTAGCACAATACCCTGAAGGTCCATCCATGTTGTTGCAAATGGCGAGGTTTCCTTCCTTTTTATGGCTGAATAATATTCCACTGTGTGTATATTTCTTTATCCATTCATCCAGCAATGAACATTTAGGTTGTTTCACATCTTGGTTATTGTAAATAATGCTGTAATGAACACAGGAGTGCACATGTCTTTTTGAGTTAGTGTTTTCATTTTCTTTGGATAAATACCCAGAAGTGGAGTTGCTGGATCATACAGTAGTTCTATTTTAAATTTTTGAAGAACCTCCATACTGTTTTCCATAGTGGCAGCACCAATTTACATTCCCTCCAACAGTGCCCAAGGGTTGCCTTTCCTCCATTTCATCATCAACACTTGTCAGTTCTCGCCTTTTTCATAATAGTCATTCTAACAGGTGTGAGGTGATATCTCTTTGTGGAATTGATTTGCGTGTCCCTGATGATTAGTGATGTCAAACACCTTTTCATGTATCTGTTGGCCTTCTGCATGTCCTTTTTGGAAAAATGTCTATTCAGATCCTCTGCCCATTTTAAAACCAGATCGGTTTTTTGCTAATGAGTTGTATGTGTCTTTTATATATTTTGGATGTTAACCGCTTATCAGATATATGATTTACAGCCCTGGCAGGGTAGCTCAGTTGGTTAGAGCACTGTCCTGACACCAATGTTGTGGGTTCAATACCCAATGAATGCATGGATGGGTGGAGTAACAGAGAGATGTTTCTCTCTTCCTTCCTCTCTCTCTCTAAAATCAATAAAAAGCAAACAAAAATATATACAATTTACAAATATTTTGTCCCATTTGATGGGTTGGCTTTTCATTTTGTTGATGGTTTCCTTTGCCGTATGGAAGCTTTTTAGTTTGGTGTAGTCAAAGAGTT